ACTTACTTAGGACCAGGACCTCAGCACCAGGAGAGAACCAGGACCTCAGCACCAGGAGAGAACCAGGACCTCAGCACCAGGAGAGAACCAGGACCTCAGCACCAGAGGAGGACCAGGACCTCAGCACCAGGAGAGAACCAGGACCTCAGCACCAGAGGAGGACCAGGACCTCAGCACTAGGAGAGGACCAGGACCTCAGCACTAGGAGAGGACCAGGACCTCTGCTCTTGGCTCTAATATTAAACCAATATTGAGATTTGGAATGTTGAAATCACATCATAAATCACTGATCCTCTGCGTCACAGAAACAGACAAAAGAACAAAGTGTTTCTTTAACCTTCTCTCTTTGAAGGAAGAAATGTCAATTATTTTTTATTTATTACACGGCTCCTCACAGCAGCAGGAGAACGCTTCGTTGATGTGAATGTCATTTCAAAATGTTCTACCGGTCATTATTTTCTATAACGGACCTCTCAAAACAATAATGACCGCTGCCCTTTGGCAACGCACTCTCTGCTTGTATTTCAGATGCGTGGATAACTCCGCAAGTAGTTCCGGCCACTCCTGAGCTAGCCACGCTCAATCAACACACTTAAATGTTAATCGGAGAATACTTATACATATACATTCTGCACACACGTGCACGGAGAGTTTCAGAATTTTCTGGTCTTGTCTTCATGACAAAAATACTATTTCTCTGCGTCAAAAAGCGATCGTGAAAAACCCGAAAGTAGTTCCGGCCGCTCAATAAACGCAAATGCCAATCAATCAACGCAATTAAATGTTAATCGGAGAGTAATTTATACATATCCAGTCTTAATACAAGTGCACGGAAGTTTTCAGAATTTTCCGTTTACGTTTTCATGACAAAAACACTGTAATGCGAGAAAAGGCGATCCCGAAAAACCCGGAAGTAGATACCGGCACATTTTAGGAACATTTGCAGAGTATGGAATTATGGATTTAGGTTAAGTTTATGTTTGGGTATCTCACCGCTGATGTTCAGGATTCTTTGTTCAGTTTTCATGCAGTTCCAGAGAGTTCTAGTTTGGAAGTTGCTAGCCTAACTGTTGCTAGCATAGCCACGGGAAAGCCTTTGGGAACTATTTTATTTTCTGTCATTAAATAAACCTTTCGGCATTCCTAAAAGTGGACTGAAGTGGACCTTTAGGGCGAAGCAGACCCCTCCGCTGCGCGTCAACCCCTATTTTTAATTATAGGCCTTTTACCAAATGGTTTAGACGTACAGTACAGAGCAAAAGTGTGGACACCCTCTCTCCTTCACTGAGTTCTTTTTATAACTATTGCTGTAGACCCGCACCAGGCTGTGTAAGGGCTGTTTGACCAATAAGGAGAGAGACCGGACCTGAACCCAGTCCAGATGGTTTTGGACCTGAACCCAGTCCAGATGGTTTTGGACCTGAATCCAGTCCAGATGGTTTTGGACCTGAACCCAGTCCAGATGGTTTTGGACCTGAACCCAGTCCAGATGGTTTTGGACCTGAACCCAGTCCAGATGGTTTTGGACCTGAACCCAGTCCAGATGGTTTTGGACCTGAACCCAGTCCAGATGGTCTTGGACCTGAACCCAGTCCAGATGGTTTTGGACCTGAACCCAGTCCAGATGGTTTTGGACCTGAACCCAGTCCAGATGGTTTTGGGGCTGGACCACAGAGTGAAGGGGCCAAGAAGTGCTAAGCATCATGGGAACTCCTTCAAGACTGTTGGAGACCATTTCAGGTCCTGTTGAAATTGATGCTTGATGAAACAAACTCCAGTGTTTCTCGTTCTGATCATTTGTGTTTGAACCTTTGAGTCTTTAACAAACGTAACGACATAACGACATAATGACATCATTATCGACGTCAATCACAACCAGTGTGTGGTCAACAAACAAGAAATCACAAATACTATTAATTATTCAACTTCTTTTCAAACAATAAGAGACAAAAGAAAAACTCTCTGGTCTCTCGCTCTGGTCTCTCTCTGGTCTCTCTCTGGTCTCTCTCTGGTCTCTCTCTGGTCTCTCTCTCTGGTCTCTCTCTCTGGTCTCTCTCTGGTCTCTCTCTCTGGTCTCTCTCTGGTCTCTCTCTGGTCTCTCTCTGGTCTCGCTCTGGTCTCTCTCTGGTCTCTCTCTGGTCTCTCTCTGGTCTCTCTCTGGTCTCTCTCTCTGGTCTCTCTCTGGTCTCTCTCTGGTCTCTCTCTGGTCTCTCTCTCTGGTCTCTCTCTGGTCTCTCTCTGGTCTCTCTCTCTGGTCTCTCTCCTGCTGGGACTCAGTGACAGTAATCACACATCCTATTTCAAATAAACTAAAGTCTTACTGATGCAACCTCTCTCGCCCTCGAGTGACGTCAGAAACAGGAATCATCATTTACATGTTGGACATTTTTAACTGTCAGACCTCAACTGGTTTTAGCTTCAATTACTAATGTGCAGCAACCAGAGAGAGAGACCAGAGAGAGACCAGAGAGAGACCAGAGAGACCAGAGAGACCAGAGAGAGACCAGAGAGAGACCAGAGAGAGACCAGAGAGAGACCAAAGAGAGACCAGAAAGAGAGACCAAAGAGAGAGACCAGACAGAGAGACCAGAGAGAGAGACCAGAGAGAGGCCAGAGAGAGACCAGAGAGAGACCAGAGAGACCAGAGAGAGAGACCAGAGAGAGACCAGAGAGAGACCAGAGAGAGACCAGAGAGAGACCCGAGAGATACCAGAGAGAGACCAGAGAGAGACCAGAGAGACCAGAGAGAGACCAGAGAGACCAAAGAGACCAGAGAGAGACCAGAGAGACCAGAGAGAGAGAGAACAGAGAGAGACCAGAGAGAGACCAGAGAGAGACCAGAGAGAGACCAGAGAGAGACCAGAGAGAGAGAGAACAGAGAGAGACCAGAGAGAGACCAGAGAGACCAGAGAGAGACCAGAGAGAGACCAGAGAGAGACCAGAGAGAGACCAGAGAGAGAGAGAACAGAGAGAGACCAGAGAGAGACCAGAGAGACCAGAGAGAGAGAGAACAGAGAGAGACCAGAGAGAGACCAGAGTGAGATAAGAGAGAGATCAATAATAAATGTTTAATGGCAGAATTAAACGTGATTTTCAGGTGAGATATAACAACAAATAATGTGTGAATAGTTTTATAAAAGCCTTCGTTTTCAGAACTTGAAGATTCTAAAGACTAAAAGTTCTGGCTTGAAATGAAAAACAAACAAAACAAAGGGGTGTTTGGAAACACAGAGAAACACATTAAACAGGTCAAAACCATTGAAGCTTCTGTGAATCGTGACTAAATATAACATATAACAAAACACAAGGCACATATTTGTATTAGTATAAAGGTAATAATAATAATACAAATAAAACTTTAATAAAAGCAGTGAGTCGCGAACTTACGGCATCTTCTTTCATTCTTTTCTCCACAATTCCACGGCTTTTTAGCTTCCAAATGTCCTTCTTCACCCGTGGGCAGCAGTAGAAGTCCTGTTTAATCCTCAATAACGTGGGAAAAGTTGGATTTAAGTCGTAAAAAGTGAGTTACCGTCAGTGGCTTTGGAAGGAGACGCGTGAGGCGGAGAGCTGCAGGTGAGTGACAGCTCCTGCAGAGGCTAGAGCGCGCGCCCAAAGTGTTGCCAAGGAGACCACGGCCGCCATCTTGTGTTTACAGATGAGTGGGGTTTTCACGTACACTACCGCCATCTTGTGTATACCGATGAGTATTCACGTAAAGTCGTGTAAATGCTGAACGATTTTGTCATAATATATAATTGCAATATTTTTGACCAACATTGTGATTGATCAATTACATGTATGTTCAAAAAGTCTTGAAAAAAACGACATATGAAGTCATCAAATCAGCTCGAATCCATTTCATAAAATGTGGATTGAGTTTTTAAGTAGAGTTGTAACTTAAACCACGATCATTTTAGACCAGAGACCAGAGAGAGACCAGAGATTATAGAAAGACCAGAAAACAAAGAGAGAACAGAGAGACACAAGAGAAAGAGACCAGCGTGAGAGACCAGAGAGTTACCAAAGAGAGACCAGAAAGAGATATACATAGTTACCTAAATGTAATGGGCTATAAGATTTGGGTTATCCAAATTGTTCTATTGAAATACACGTGGGTGGAGCTGAAGCAGTTAGATACAGAAGTCACTGTTTAAATGCAGACTGATAGCAGCGCAGGTGAAGGAGGATGAAGTTAAATTCCAAAAGCACAACAATTATACATGTATCCAAAGTCTCAGTACCGGTGTTTAAAAAGTACTCTTCCATACTGCTACACTCTGAGTACTCTCCCATAGATCACAGTTCCAGGTCAGGGCCACTTGTCACCTGAAGCTTCAGTCTCAGTTTTCCAGCTCAAACTGAAACTTTCATGAGAAAAACAACCCTGAAAAGACAGCGTTTATATTTTAGATTAAGCAGAAGAAAATAAAACAGTTTTAGCTTCTTCTATGTGAGTATTGTTACTAAAAACATGTCCGACAATAGGAGCGTGTTTGTGTAATTAAGCCACATGTTGTAAACTGAAGCTCGTTAGACACAGAGCAAATATCCAGCTCTGTTTGTCCGGATATGGGCCTGAGACAAGCTGCTTTAGACCTGCTTTAGACCTGCTTTAGACCTGCTTTAGACCTGCTTTGGACCTGCTTTAGACCTGCTTTGGACCTGCTTTAGACCTGCTTTAGACCTACTTTAGTCCTGATTTAGACCTGCTTTAGACCTGCTTTAGACCTACTTTAGACCTGCTTTAGTCCTGCTTTAGACCTGCTTTAGACCTGCTTTAGACCTGATTTAGTTCTGCTTTAGACCTGCTTTAGACCTGCTTTAGACCTGCTTTAGACCTGCTTTGGACCTGCTTTAGACCTGCTTTAGACCTGCTTTAGACCTGCTTTAGACCTACTTTAGTCCTGATTTAGACCTGCTTTAGACCTGCTTTAGACCTACTTTAGACCTGCTTTAGTCCTGCTTTAGACCTGCTTTAGACCTGCTTTAGACCTGATTTAGTTCTGCTTTAGACCTGCTTTAGACCTGCTTTAGACCTGCTTTAGGCCTGCTTTAGTCCTGCTTTAGACCTGCTTTAGTCCTGATTTAGTCCTGCTTTAGACCTGCTTTAGACCTACTTTAGACCTGCTTTAGACCTGCTTTAGTCCTGATTTAGTCCTGCTTTAGACCCGCTTAAGTAGTAGTCCTTGGAGTTGCCTACAGGTGTGTAGGTCCTCCTTCTCCTCCTTCTGTAGGTCCTCTTCCTGTAAGTCCTCCTCCTGTAGGTCCTCCTCCTGTAGGTCCTCTTCCTGTAGGTCCTCCTCCTGTAGGTCCTCCTCCTGTAGGTCCTCCTCCTGTAGGTCCTCTTCCTGTAGGTCCTCCTCCTGTAGGTCCTCTTCCTGTAAGTCCTCCTCCTGTAGGTCCTCCTCTGTAGGTCCTCCTCCTGTAGGTCCTCTTCCTGTAGGTCCTCTTCCTGTAAGTCCTCCTCCTGTAGGTCCTCTTCCTGTAGGTCCTCTTCCTGTAGGTCCTCCTCCTGTAGGTCCTCTTCCTGTAAGTCCTCCTCCTGTAGGTCCTCCTCTGTAGGTCCTCCTCCTGTAGGTCCTCTTCCTGTAAGTCCTCCTCCTGTAGGTCCTCTTCCTGTAGGTCCTCCTCCTGTAAGTCCTCCTCCTGTAGGTCCTCTTCCTGTAAGTCCTCCTCCTGTAGGTCCTCTTTCTGTAGGTCCTCTTCCTGTAAGTCCTCCTTCTGTAGGTCCTCCTCCTGTAGGTCCTCTTCCTGTAAGTCCTCCTCCTGTAGGTCCTCCTCCTGTATGTCCTCCTCCTGTAGGTCCTCCTCCTGTAGGTCCTCTTCCTGTAAGTCCTCCTCCTGTAGGTCCTCCTCCTGTAAGTCCTCCTCCTGTAGGTCCTCCTCGTGTAGGTCCTCCTGCTGTAGGTCCTCCTCCTGTAGGTCCTCCTCGTGTAGGTCCTCTTCCTGTAGGTCCTCCTCCTGTAGGTCCTCTTCCTGTAGGTCCTCCTCCTGTAGGTCCTCTTCCTGTAAGTCCTCCTCCTGTAGGTCCTCCTTCTGTAGGTCCTCTTCCTGTAAGTCCTCCTTCTGTAGGTCCTCCTCCTGTAGGTCCTCTTCCTGTAAGTCCTCCTCCTGTAGGTCCTCTTCCTGTAGGTCCTCCTCCTGTAGGTCCTCCTCCTGTAGGTCCTCTTCCTGTAGGTCCTCTTCCTGTAAGTCCTCCTCGTGTAGGTCCTCCTCCTGTAGGTCCTCTTCCTGTAAGTCCTCCTCCTGTAGGTCCTCTTTCTGTAGGTCCTCTTCCTGTAAGTCCTCCTTCTGTAGGTCCTCTTCCTGTAAGTCCTCCTTCTGTAGGTCCTCCTCCTGTAGGTCCTCTTCCTGTAAGTCCTCCTCCTGTAGGTCCTCCTCCTGTAGGTCCTCCTCCTGTAGGTCCTCCTCCTGTAGGTCCTCTTCCTGTAAGTCCTCCTCCTGTAGGTCCTCTTACTGTAGGTCCTCTTCCTGTAAGTCCTCCTCCTGTAGGTCCTCCTCCTGTAGGTCCTCTTCCTGTAAGTCCTCCTCCTGTAAGTCCTCCTCCTGTAGGTCCTCTTACTGTAGGTCCTCTTCCTGTAAGTCCTCCTCCTGTAGGTCCTCTTCCTGTAAGTCCTCCTCCTGTAGGTCCTCCTCCTGTAGGTCCTCTTCCTGTAAGTCCTCCTCCTGTAGGTCCTCCTCCTGTAGGTCCTCCTCCTGTAGGTCCTCCTCCTGTAGGTCCTCTTCCTGTAAGTCCTCCTCCTGTAGGTCCTCTTACTGTAGGTCCTCTTCCTGTAAGTCCTCCTCCTGTAGGTCCTCTTCCTGTAAGTCCTCCTCCTGTAGGTCCTCTTCCTGTAAGTCCTCCTCCTGTAGGTCCTCCTCCTGTAGGTCCTCTTCCTGTAAGTCCTCCTCCTGTAGGTCCTCCTCGTGTAGGTCCTCCTCCTGTAGGTCCTCTTCCTGTAAGTCCTCCTCCTGTAGGTCCTCTTCCTGTAAGTCCTCCTCCTGTAGGTCCTCCTCCTGTAGGTCCTCTTTCTGTAGGTCCTCCTCCTGTAGGTCCTCTTCCTGTAGGTCCTCCTCCTGTAGGTCCTCCTCCTGTAGGTGGCGCTGTGGAGCAGACTCAGTGATCTCTGCTGCTGCTGTAACTCTAACCAGAGCAGTGACCTGTGGGTGGATTTCACTCACACCTGTAAACCAGGATCACCTTTCAGACCCTTAGGTCCTTCACCCAATTAGTACACTGCTAATGATGTTCTATACAGAGACCAGAGAGAGACCATGGAGAGACCAGAGAGGGACCAGAGAGAGACCAGAGAGGGACCAGGGAGAGACCAGAGAGGGACCAGAGAGAGACCAGAGAGGGACCAGGGAGAGACCAGAGAGGGACCAGAGAGAGACCAGAGAGGGACCAGAGAGGGACCAGAGAGAGACCAGAGATAGACCAGAGAGAGACCAGAGAGAGACCAGAAAGACCAGAGAAAGACCAGAGAGAGACCAGAGAGAGACCAGAGAGACAAGAGAGACAAGAGAGAGACCAGAGAGAGACCAGGGAGAGACCAGAGAGACAAGAGAGACAAGAGAGAGACCAGAGAGGGACCAGGGAGAGACCAGAGAGGGACCAGAGAGAGACCAGAGAGGGACCAGGGAGAGACCAGGGAGAGACCAGAGAGGGACCAGAGAGGGACCAGGGAGAGACCAGAGAGAGACCAGAGAGAGACCAGAGAGAGACCAGAGAGACAAGAGAGACAAGAGAGAGACCAGAGAGAGACCAGGGAGAGACCAGAGAGACAAGAGAGACCAGAGAGGGACCAGAGAGAGACCAGAGAGGGACCAGGGAGAGACCAGGGAGAGACCAGAGAGGGACCAGAGAGGGACCAGGGAGAGACCAGAGAGAGGGACCAGAGAGAGACCAGAGAGGGACCAGGGAGAGACCAGGGAGAGACCAGAGAGGGACCAGAGAGGGACCAGGGAGAGACCAGAGAGGGACCAGAGAGAGACCAGAGAGAGACCAGAGAGAGACCAGAGAGAGACCAGAGAGAGACCAGAAAGACCAGAGAAAGACCAGAGAGAGACCAGAGAGAGACCAGAGAGAGACCAGAGAGAGACCAGGGAGAGAGACAAGAGAGAGACCAGAGAGAGACCAGGGAGAGAGACCCCTGGAAAAGCCAGGTTCCAGCTTCTTCCCTCTGGCAGAAGCTGTCGTTGGCTGCAGGTCATCTGGATATGCTAACATGCTAACATGCTAACAGCTTCTTCCAGCTGTTCTCAGTCTGAACAAAGCACTTTAATGATTTAGTTTCGAAGCTGTTTATGTTGATTTATTTCACAGTAACAATAGTTCCTTATTCCTGCACTGGTCTGATGCAAACTGGAGACTCTTGCTCCTGTATTCCAATGTGGTTTTACTGCAAATGGCAAATATACAAAATCTGAGTGTGTGTTTGTGTGTGTCTCTGTGTTTGTGTGTGTGTGTGTGTGGTTTTGGTCCATTATGTGTGTGTGTGTGTGTGTGTGCGTCTATGTGTGTCTGTGTGTGTGTGTGCGTCTGTGTCTGTGTGTGTGTGTGTCTGCGTCTGTGTGTGTGTGCGTCTGTGTGTGTGTGTGTCTGCGTCTGTGTGTGTGTGTGGTTTTGGTCCATTATGTGTGTGCTCTGTCTGCTCCAGTCTTTATCTTTAACCCACTCCCTGTTCGTCTCTTGTTTTGTCCCACTCTTCATTGTCGTTTATGTTTTAAAACCTCGCTGTTGTTTGAGCAGATGTCTGTTTCCCAAAATAGCAAAACCAAACTGGTCCAGTGACATCGGACTATTTAAAGACAGGACTTCCAATAAAACCAGTGGTGACTGTGACCAAAGCTTATACCATAAAGTGTTAAGGGTTTGTGTCCCGAGAACGATTCAGGAAAACCCCAAAGATACTGGTACAGATATACCAGAAAATGTAAATAAAGCTGGGTGACGTAACTTTGAAACTATTTAAATTCTAACCAAATCCATCCGTCCTCTAAAACACTTCTATCACTGGTTTTCGTATCATGTACTGTATTTCTGGTCTCTCTCTCTTTCTGGTCTCTCTGGTCTCTCTCGGTCTGTCTCTCTCTCTCTGGTCTCTCTCGGTCTGTCTCTCTTTCTGGTCCCTCTCTCTCTGGTCTCTCTCGGTCTGTCTCTCTCTCTGGTCCCTCTCTGTCTCTCTCTGGTCTCTCTCGGTCTGTCTCTCTTTCTGGTCCCTCTCTCTCTGGTCTCTCTCGGTCTGTCTCTCTCTCTCTGGTCTCTCTTGTTCTGTCTCGCTCTCTCTGGTCTCTCTCGGTCTCTCTCTTTCTGGTCCCTCTCTCTCTGGTCTCTCTCGGTCTGTCCCTCTCTCTCTGGTCTCTCTCGGTCTGTCTCTCTCTCTCTGGTCTCTCTCGGTCTGTCTCTCTCTCTCTGGTCTCTCTCGGTCTGTCTCTCTCTCTCTGGTCTCTCTCGGTCTGTCTCTCTCTCTCTGGTCTCTCTCGGTCTGTCTCTCTTTCTGGTCCCTCTCGGTCTGTCTCTCTCTCTCTGGTCTCTCTCGGTCTGTCTCTCTTTCTGGTCCCTCTCGGTCTGTCTCTCTCTCTCTGGTCTCTCTCGGTCTGTCTCTCTCTCTCTGGTCTCTCTCGGTCTGTCTCTCTCTCTCTGGTCCCTCTCGGTCTGTCTCTCTCTCTCTGGTCTCTCTCGGTCTGTCTCTCTCTCTCTGGTCTCTCTCGGTCTGTCCCTCTCTCTCTGGTCTCTCTCGGTCTGTCTCTCTCTCTCTGGTCTCTCTCGGTCTGTCTCTCTCTCTCTGGTCTCTCTCGGTCTGTCTCTCTCTCTCTGGTCTCTCTCGGTCTGTCTCTCTCTCTCTGGTCTCTCTCGGTCTGTCTCTCTTTCTGGTCCCTCTCGGTCTGTCTCTCTCTCTCTGGTCTCTCTCGGTCTGTCTCTCTTTCTGGTCCCTCTCGGTCTGTCTCTCTCTCTCTGGTCTCTCTCGGTCTGTCTCTCTCTCTCTGGTCTCTCTCGGTCTGTCTCTCTCTCTCTGGTCCCTCTCGGTCTGTCTCTCTCTCTCTGGTCTCTCTCGGTCTGTCTCTCTCTCTCTGGTCTCTCTCGGTCTGTCTCTCTCTCTCTGGTCCCTCTCGGTCTGTCTCTCTCTCTCTGGTCCCTCTCGGTCTGTCTCTCTCTCTCTGGTCTCTCTCGGTCTGTCTCTCTCTCTCTGGTCTCTCTCGGTCTGTCTCTCTCTCTCTGGTCTCTCTCGGTCTGTCTCTCTCTCTCTGGTCTCTCTCGGTCTGTCTCTCTCTCTCTAGTCCCTCTCACATTATGCTTTATTAGGCTGAGTGTGATGTCATAGTGGTACACAATGGTACAATCATGCTAACACAAGACTGAGACAGGAGCTTTTAGACTGAAGGGGGCGGAGCTACATGTTTGTGACAAAAGTTTCTGATATCAGCGTGGATGGAGCTAAACACAACTCCAGGCCTGAGACTGATGAGGGACAACATTGGAACATGGACAAAGGAGAGAAGCAGGTCATTTACACACGTCTCCTTTAATGATGGATGTGGCGCCATCTTGTGGACATGATGTGGTACTCCGGCTTCAAAGTCACTGAACCACCCCTTTACTGGTCCTACAGCGGGGAAATGTCAGTGTTGCAATCACCAGTTACAGGACAGAAGGAATGAGGAGCACACAGCACATGGTAAATGAACAATAACTCTGTACTAGAACTAAATGAAATCTCTAACTTTAGAAAAATAACGAAGCAAGTCTAAATGTCTGTATATTCTAATCTAGTGCGAGGAATATTACTAAAGCTTCAGTTTTGGTGAACATTCTTACATGAGTTTATTGTTTTTGTGTCAGTACAGAAATCCAGAGTCCCATAAACATTCCAAAAATACAGTTTGTACGTTCAATCCAAAACATGCGACATCATTTCAGGCAACAGCAGAAAACGTTCTTTCATCTGTAAAAAGCTTCGTTCTATTTAAAAACAAGAACATTCTGCGGCGTTTGAAGAGAAGCTGAAGGTAAAGGCTCTGGATTAAAGCTGGGGGACCTTCCATCCATCCATCCATCCATTTTCTACCCTTTAATCCATTTCTGAGTCAGGGGGGTGGCAGTCAGAGATGCCACCCAAGTCTCATAGCACCAGCCCCTCACTGACCCTCTGCAGGTGGTGAGTCCACAGGAGGACGGCTGCTCTTTGAGTGAGAGCATAGCCTTGATCTTTCAGTGGGGGCTTTTGGGCAAAGTGGGGTTAAGTGTCTTGCCCAAGGACACAACGACAGCAGTCATCAGTGGGAGTCGATGGAGAAGGTGCAGAGGTGGGGACCTAACTTTCTTTAACTCTAGGATAAAACATGTAGAAAGAGTCTCGTAAAAGCATCATCTGATAAGTTATTTTTGATGTGAGAAAGATCCTTGTGAAGCGCTATCTGACTCTTCAGGCTGAGAGCTGATTGGCTGAGAGCTGATTGGCTGAGAGAGGGGGGGGGTCCTCTTGATTTCACTTTTCGGTCTGAAAAAGCTGATCTAAAGATGTGACAGAGCTTTTTGAGAATATCTCGAGACATGGGTTTTATTACAGAGTTCTACTGTTGAAGTTACGTACCCCAGCTTTAAATATGTTTAATTCTGAAGGTTACAACCCTTCAGATTCAAATCAAAGGAAAAGGAAAGGCGAGAACATGGACACAACCTGAGAAAAGTTAATTTTTCTTTAAGTGAATCAAGTCTAAAACTATATCCAAAATTCAATCATTAAAAGTCAAATTAAGACCAAATAAGGCAAAAAGGTGAATGACAAACTAGATATTACATGTAAACAAATATAATACATGTTTATATATGAGTAAGACAATTTAAGCAGGTTTTAAGACTTATACATTCAAAAAGTCGAGAAGCAGCAAAGATTTAAAACATGAGAAACAGCCCCATCTGGTGGTAGAAGCTGAACATTACACAGAGCTCAAATCTGGTCGAATTTGTCCACCGCAGAGATTGAAAAACCACAAATCATCTGTCAAGCTGAATTTTGATGATTTGTCGTGACTTGACCAGCCCTAGGTAATTAAGACTGTAATTTAGAACAACACAAGGGTTACGAAGGCAGAAAACAGCTCCGTTTGTGACGTCATAGGCACACAGAGAAATTACTTATACACTCTTCAAAATAAAAACAACACAGTTTTCATAATAAAAGCCGATACAAGGCTAAACGCAGAGGGTATTAGCAAAGCCCCCGGTCTCTCCAAGATGTCCGCCCTGGTTCTCTCCATGATGTCTTCTGGGACGTATAGAGACTGGTTAAATCTCTGTACAGTCCATGTGGATTTAAGCTGCAGTACCGCGAGTGGCCTCTAGTCCATGTGGAGACGGCCACAGTAAAAACAAGAAATAAAAGAAATACGGTATAACAAAATAAACTTGTTGAAGGCAGAAACCAGCTCGTTCTGTGTTTGAATACAGAACGTTTAGGCAGAAGGGGCGGGGGCTCACATGGATGGAGCTACAAACAACTCCAGTAAACTTTTTTTTTTTCATTTAGTAGATTTCAGAGCCGATTCAAAACACGTTTAAAAGAACTAGACTTGTGCGATTATTCAGAAGGTTCTTGTTTTGTTTGAACAAGTGTAAAAGTTGGGAATTATTTAAAGACACAGAAGAAGAACGATACCAATGGAACGAGAACACTGCACAAAGGACGCGGTAATCGCTTGAATCAAGTGGTTTTTAATCTTAATCTGACACATTCGGATTTAAAACTAGATTCTCCAACGGGACAAAGACATTTAGTCAGATTTTAAAAACTTTATTTCCTCATTCCAAGGGAGACCTTTCTGTACCTTTTTAAAACTAGATCATTGGAGAATTTGGTTTTACGGCTCAGTCAGAATGTGCTCAGATTAAGATAAATGTTTTCAAATTGGAGCAATTTTTGACTTATTTTTCATCACCTTTAACAGTGTCCTTGAGATCTCTCTGGTGATGTCATCATTCACAGCCAGTCAGTAAAATAGACACGCTGGAATGAGATGGACTTTAGAGTCATAAAAAAACACATGTATTTGTCAAACAGAATCTTGTAAAAGTAAAACGTTGAACTGTCCAGACCACAACACGCCGCCTTCATCATTAGAAAACATGGTCCCTTTGATGCAAGAATGATCCTGGTAAGTCACTATCTGACTCTTTGGGCCAAGAGCTGGTTGACTGAGAGAGGGTGGTCCGCTCTTTGTCAGATTTCTGTCTGAAAAATCTGATCTATAGATGTGACGGAGACAGAAATACATTTCAAACAAGTGATGAAGAAACTGTTTTAAAGCCAGGAACTAGAGACTAAAGTTTTACTACATTGTTCTATTGCTGTGGTCTGAAAGTTACATACCCCAGCTTTAATATAATCATATTCACTGCCTTTTGTGTTTTAAGGATCATTCAAACCGTTGTACGCAGTTTATAAATGCGGCCCTAAATCCATACTGGAACATGATTAAAAGCACAAAAAAGTGGATTTTCCTCTTTCTCGTCTCGTCTCTCACATTATCCACGTTTACGACACACGAGGACGATCGACAAAAGTGTTTAATCGTCTCAAGGGAGGATAAAATATAGACGAGAATATATCATATAAGCTGGGGTACCTGACTTTATAAACACCACATGGATTTGTCCAACAGGAAGAGTCTCGTAAAAGTAAAATGTCGCACAAATCCGACCTCAACTCGCCTTCATCTAATTAGAAATCCTCTTTGGAATCAACCTGTGAGTCACTACTTGACTATTTGCGTTGAGAGCAATGGATTTTGTTTGATGGATTTTAAAATTAGGGGAACGAGACAGGGCTGTCCCATTTCCCTGGATTTGTTTGTCAGTATAAAAGGAGGCCCTAAATCCAGACTGGAACATGATTAAAAGCACAATAGAGTGGATTCTCCTCTTTCTCGCCACGTTCTCGTCACGTTCTCGTCTCGTTAATCTCACATTATCCACGTTCGTGAAACCGGAGGCAGATGTGAAAGAGTTTAATCGTCTCCGAGCAGCATCGCCGACAGAGCGTTCACGTCCGTCTCCTGAGGGTGACTCTGCAGCAGCAGCGACACCATCGACTCCTGACCAGGAAACACCAGGCTGAGCTGCTGCTGCAGGAGGGTGGTCTGCTCAGGGGACCGCAGGGCTCTGGACTGGCCTGGTCTCTGGGTCTGGGTGTGGTTGGGCCTGGACTGGTACGGCCTCTGGGTCTGGGTCCCCGGAGAGCGGTCGCGGTACGTCAGCATTTTGGGGATGGTGGAGTTTGCAGATCTGAGTGAGAGGAAAGGACACGTTTATTACATTGTACCAGTTTTGTCCAAGTTAAAGCTGAGTTACCTAACTTTCTTATATACAGAGGCTGGTTAGGGTTTGGTTTCAAGAAGTCTTTTTGAGCCTTTCCTGCTTTAACATGAGCCACGAGCAGCTTGAGTTTGTAAAATTACGAAGACCGTGTTAGACCACTGTAACGGCTGCTCTCTGGTCTCTCCAAACCAGCTGTAACACATCTGCAGTAGCTTCACAATGCTTCAGCTCGAATCCTAGAACCAGGAAGTACCATCACAGTAGTCCTGGTCTCAGGTCTCTGTTCTCAGACGCACAGGAAGCAGACTTCAAAGCAGCTCTGTTTGTTACAAGTCTCTCCATCTGTGACATGTTAGTGCCATATGAACCAACTGTGAGGAGTACAGGGACCGGCCTCCTGCTGGGACTCTGAGGAGCACAGGGACCGGCCTCCTGCTGGGACTCTGAGGAGCACAGGGACCGGCCTCCTGCTGGGACTCTGAGGAGCACAGGGACCGGCCTCCTGCTGGGACTCTGAGGAGCACAGGGACCGGCCTCTTGCTGGTCCTCCAGAGCCCTTTGACCGCAGCTCTAAGTTCAGCTCTAAGGGACTCACCTGGTGTTTGTGGATAAGAAGTCGTCCAGATGTGGTCCTCCTCGTCCCAGTGGGTCATCAGGAACCATGAAGAGATCTCCCACAAACGTGTACTGGAGGAGTCTGTGGGAGGAGGAGCAGGTGGTCAGACCAGGAGGAGACTGTAGGAGGAGGAGGAGGTTAGACCAGGAGGAGACTGTAGGAGGAGGAGGAGGAGGTCAGACCAGGAGGAGTCTGTAGAAGGAGGAGGTGGAGCAGAAGGTCAGACCAGGAGGAGACAGTAGGAGGAGGAGGAGGTTAGACCAGGAGGAGACAGTAGGAGGAGGAGGAGGTTAGACCAGGAGGAGACTGTAGGAGGAGGAGGAGGTCAGACCAGGAGGAGACTGTAGGAGGAGGAGGAGGTCAGACCAGGAGGAGTCTGTAGAAGGAGGAGGTGGAGCAGAAGGTTAGACCAGGAGGAGACTGTAGGAGGAGGAGGAGGTCAGACCAGGAGGAGACTGTAGGAGGAGGAGGAGGTCAGACTAGGAGGAGAATGTAGGAGGAGGAGGAGGTTGGACCAGGAAGAGGCTGTAGGAGGAGCAGGTTAGACCAGGAGGAGTCTGTAGGAGGAGGAGTCTGGACCAGGAGGAGTCTGTAGGAGGAGGAGTCTGGACCAGGAGGAGACTGTAGGAGGAGGAGGTTAGACCAGGAGGAGACTGTAGGAGGAGGAGGTCAGACCAGGAGGAGGCTGTAGGAGGTCAGACCAGGAAGAGACTGTAGGAGGAGGTTAGACCAGGAGGAGTCTGTAGGAGGAGGAGGTTAGACCAGGAGGAGTCTGTAGGAGGAGGAGGTTAGACCAGGAGGAGTCTGTAGGAGGAGGAGGTTAGACCAGGAGGAGACTGTAGGAGGAAGAGGTTAGACCAGGAGGAGTCTGTAGGAGGAGGAGGTTAGACCAGGAGGAATCTGTAGGAGGAGGAGGTTAGACCAGGAGGAGACTGTAGGAGGAAGAGGTTAGACCAGGAGGAGGCTGTGTAGGAGGTCAGACCAGGAAGAGACTGTAGGAGGAGGTTAGACCAGGAGGAGTCTGTAGGAGGAGGAGGTTAGACCAGGAGGAGTCTGTAGGAGGAGGAGGTTAGACCAGGAGGAGTCTGTAGGAGGAGGAGGTTAGACCAGGAGGAGACTGTAGGAGGAAGAGGTTAGACCAGGAGGAGTCTGTAGGAGGAGGAGGTTAGACCAGGAGGAATCTGTAGGAGGAGGAGGTTAGACCAGGAGGAGACTGTAGGAGAAGGTCAGAACAGGAGGAGTCTGTAGGAGGAGGTTAGACTAGGGGGAGACATGATAGGAGTAGGAGTCTGGACCAGGAGGAGACCAATAGGAGGAGGAGTCAGGACCAGGAGGAGACCGATAGATCTAGAGACCTTTTCCGGATGACCTCGGTCCACTCGGCGCACTCGTCCGCCAGGTCTCGGAGGTTGTCGTTGGTTACGATGACGCCCTCTGTCGCCCAGGCCAGACGCACCATCATCCTGGACACACACAACAGTAAGTTAGGCATGTTGTTTTTCACCACAGGGAAGACGTGAAAGAGAGCGAGAGAGAGAGCGATAGAGGTGTGCCTTTGGAAATCACTTTATCGGTCAAAATATGGGAAAAGGAAATGATGTGGCGATTAGAAAGACCTTTTTGTTTGATTTCTATATAATGCACTTTGAGATTGACTTTATACAGTTCATAAAGGCGACCAGAGAGAGACCAGAGAGAGAGACCAGAGAGAGAGACCAGAGAGAGAGACCAGAGAGAGACCAGAGAGAGAGACCACAGAGAGAGACCAGAGAGAGACCAGCGAGAGAGAGCAGAGAGAGAGACCACAGAGAGAGACCAGAGAGAGAGACCAGAGAGAGAGACCACAGAGAGAGACCAGAGAGAGACCAGAGAGAGAGAGCAGAGAGAGACCAGAGAGAGAGACCAGAGAGAGACCAGCGAGAGAGAGCAGAGAGAGAGACCAGAGAGAGACCAGAGAGAGAGAGCAGAGAGAGAGACCACAGAGAGAGACCAGAGAGAGAGACCAGAGAGAGACCAGCGAGAGAGAGCAGAGAGAGACCAGAGAGAGACCAGAGAGAGAGACCAGAGAGAGAGAGACCAGAGAGAGAGACCAGAGAGAGAGACCAGAGAGAGACCAGCGAGAGAGAGAGAGAGAGAGAGACTAGAGAGAGAGACCAGAGAGAGAGACCAGAGAGAGACCAGAGAGAGAGACCAGAGAGAGAGACCAGAGGGGGAGAGACCAGAGAGAGAGAGACCAGAGAGAGAGACCAGCGAGAGAGACCAGAGAGAGAGACCAGAGAGAGAGACCAGAGAGAGACCAGCGAGAGAGAGAGAGACCAGAGAGAGACCAGAGAGAGACCAGAGAGAGACCAGAGAGAGAGAGCAGAGAGAGACCAGAGAGAGAGACCAGAGAGAGAGACCAGAGAGAGAGACCAGAGAGAGAGACCAGAGAGAGAGACCAGCGAGAGAGAGAGAGACCAGAGAGAGAGACCAGAGAGAGAGACCAGAGAGAGACCAGAGAGAGAGACCAGAGAGAGACCAGCGAGAGAGAGAGACCAGAGAGAGAGACCAGAGAGAGAGACCAGAGAGAGAGACCAGAGAGAGAGACCAGAGAGAGAGACCAGAGAGAGACCAGAGAGAGACCAGAGAGAGAGACCAGCGAGAGAGACCAGCGAGAGAGAGAGAGACCAGCAAGAGAGAGAGAGAGAGACCAGAGAGAGACCAGAGAGAGGCCAGAGAGAGAGAGAGATTTCTCTTAGCTCTTGTTTGATTTTCTTTATTAACTTAAAGGAACAGGCCACCGTGTTTACATCCTGACACATGTTCTTACCTTAGACTGATATGTACCTGTCTGGTCTGTGTCCGTGTGCTCTGTCATGCAAACGCAGCACAAACACAGCCTCTTCCACAGACTGTATAGTTCCAAATCAGCTCCTGTTAGAAGCTCCCAAACTCTTCCACGTGTTCCCTATTTAAATATAGTTATGTGACGTGTTACTCTACAAAGTATAGTAACACACAAATGTAACATGTCCATTTTCCCCGCTCACGCTGCTTCTATTGACGGAAGTGAGCGGGAGAGAAGTCTTTAGGAGTTAGTGTGTGGACGAAGTGCTCCTCGTATTATTACGCCTCACAATATAGTTCCTCTTTTTATCCGCTGAGAAAATGGACATGTTACATTTGTGTGTTACTATACTTTGTAGAGTAACACGTCACATAACTGTATTTAAAAAGGGAACACGTGGAAGAGTTTGGGAGCTTCTAACAGGAGCTGATTTGGAACTATACAGTCTGTGGAAGAGGCTGTGTTTGTGCTGCGTTTGCATGACAGAGCACACGGACACAGACCAGACAGGTACATATCAACTAGTCTAAGGTAAGAACATGTGTCAGTCTGTAAAAACAGGGCCTATTCCTTTAATTAATATAGTTAATGAAGGCTGCAAAGTGTTGAGTTTGTATCAGTTTCAGCTGGTGGTGTACCATGGTTCAAAAAGGTTGTGGAACACTGCTCTAAACCGTGATGTTGAACAGTCTTTGTTCTCTGCTGTGAGAGTCGTTTTGAGGCTCCCATGATGCTCCTTTTCAGAGAAGACACAAAGAGGGCTAACGCTTAGAATTGGCCTTGAATACTTAAAGAGCCTTTCTCATGACTGGAAAGGCAAGGATCCGGGCGCAGATCATGGAGTTATAATTCTTAAATCATTTCTATCTTTGTGAAAAAGGTGTTGGTTATAGATTTGTTGTTGACAAAACTCTTGTCTATTCAGCTGTTATGGTCCCAGCTGGATTCGTCTGCATATCTGGCAACCTGAGTCAGGGAGAGTGGGAGAGGCTGCAGTACCACTTTTACCCACATGTTTACAGACTGCTCCTTTAAACTCACCGGTCGTCGTACGAGCTGATCCTTTTGCCCTGGACTTCTCTGGACGGCGTCAGGGACACGATTCCCAGCTCCGTCAGCTTCGTGAGGAAGTGCTGCTCTGGAGGCACAGACACAGTTTCAACAAACAGGTCTCCCATCCGGCCTCACCAGACACACTCTGAACACACCAGACACACTCTGAACACACCAGGCACACTCTGAACACACACCAGGCACACTCTGAACACACACCAGGCACACTCTGAACACACACCAGGCACACTCTGAACACACACCAGGCACACTCTGAACACACACCAGGCACACTCTGAACACACACCAGGCACACTCTGAACACACACCAGGCACACTCTGAACACACACCAGGCACACTCTGAACACACCAGGCACACTCTGAACACACCAGACACACTCTGAACACACCAGGCACACTCTGAACACACCAGACACACTCTGAACACACCAGACACACTCTGAACACACCAGACACACTCTGAACACACCAGACACACTCTGTACACACCAGACACAGTCTGAACACACCAGGCACACTCTGAACACACCAGGCACACTCTGAACACACACCAGGCACACTCTGAACACACACCAGGCACACTCTGAACACACCAGGCACACTCTGAACACACACCAGACACACTCTGAACACACACCAGACACACTCTGAACACACACCAGGCACACTCTGAACACACACCAGGCACACTCTGAACACACCAGGCACACTCTGAACACACCAGGCACACTCTGAACACACACCAGGCACACTCTGAACACACACCAGGCACACTCTGAACACACACCAGGCACACTCTGAACACACACCAGGCACACTCTGAACACACCAGGCACACTCTGAACACACCAGGCACACTCTGAACACACCAGGCACACTCTGAACACACCAGGCACACTCTGAACACACCAGGCACACTCTGAACACACACCAGGCACACTCTGAACACACACCAGGCACACTCTGAACACACCAGGCACACTCTGAACACACCAGGCACACTCTGAACACACCAGGCACACTCTGAACACACCAGGCACACTCTGAACACACCAGGCACACTCTGAACACACCAGGCACTCTCTGAACACACCAGGCACTCTCTGAACACACCAGGCACACTCTGAACACACCAGTCATACAAACTAGATGCTAATTTGAGCGTGTTTCAAACACAAGGTCCACGGGACAGATGTTAGTGTCCGATTTAGATTATTACCATTCACTTTGGGCTTATTATCATGAACCCAACCTGAAGTTAGATCGAGTTAACACGGTCTAACGCGGTCTGTCTAACACTGTCTTAACACTGTCTTAACACTGTCTTAACACTGTCTTAACACTGTCTTAACACTGTCCTAACACTGTCCTAACACTGTCTTAACACTGTCTTAACACTGTCCTAACACTGTCCTAACACTGTCCTAACACTGTCCTAACACTGTCCTAACACTGTCCTAACACTGTCCTAACACTGTCCTAACACTGTCTTAACACTGTCTTAACACTGTCTTAACACTGTCTTAACACTGTCTTAACACTGTCTAACACTGTCTAACACTGTCTAACACTGTCTAACACTGTCTAACACTGTCTAACACTGTCTAACACTGTCTAACACTGTCTAACACTGTCTAACACTGTCTAACACTGTCTAACACTGTCTAACATGTGGAGGCAGCAGTGGTACCTTTGATCCGGTGGTCGTTCTTGGTCCTCCACTGTGGGACCATGGCACAGATCTGTCGGTGGCCGCGGTCCCAGAAGTGCTGCACGGCTAACGCTATTCCCCGACACGAGAAGAACTGACCCAGACCATGACTGTGGAGGAGAGAGGTCAAAGGATCTCATCGTGGTCTCACAGAGGAGAGGGACCAGAGAGGGTCGAGAGAGAGAGGAGAGAGAGAGAGAGGGACCAGAGAGGGACTAGAGAGAGAGAAGAGAGAGAGAGAGGCGAGAGACCACAGAGAGAGAGAGAGAGAGGAATTATAGAGAAAGAGGGACCATAGAGTGAAAGAGAGAGAGAGGGAGAGAGGCCAAAGAGAGAGAGGGATCATAGAGAGAGAGGCCATAGAGAGAGAGGGACCATAGAGAGAGAGGCCATAGAGATAGAGAGTGAGAGAGAGGGGAAAGGGACCATAGAGAGAGAGAGAGAAAAAGAGAACAGTATCTGTCTGTTCAAACATATGTTGAATATAAAACCAAAGTCAGGTACCGCAGCTTTAAGGCCCCGTCCGCTTTACCTCATGGCCACGTTGCTGCCGTCGATCACGATGTTGCGCAGGTTCTCTTTCCCCGGACTGCTGGTCAGATGCAGCTCGAACCGCGAGTGCAGTCCCTCCAGGAACCTCTGCTCTCCCGTCACCACCACCGCCGCCGCCCCCTGCTGGTGGAACCCATCTCTGCGCTCGCGACCCCACACCTTCGTGTTTGCCGCAGCCTCCCGCGCCCCGTAGGCGGCTTCAGTCTGCGGCCGATCGAAGTTATAGCTGGACAAAGGCGGGCCGCGGATGTTGTCGGCTTGTTTTTGCCCGTTCTGGATCTTTGGATTTCTATCGCTGACAAACACATCGCCGCGGACTTCTCTCTGCTTCTGCAACTCCCGGGCGTTCTCCTCGTTTCCCCGATTTGCACGGACCTCTCTCTGCTTCGGCGGCGGCACCTCCCTGGCCTTCTCCTGGTTCTCCCCTCTCTTCCGCCCTCTCTCTTCCGACACCACCACTACCTCCACGTCGTCCATCTCCCTGGGCCCCTCTTCCTTCGCATCCTTCTGCTGCAGCTCCAGAAGCAGCTGGTGCATGGACTGGTCGGGCAGCTTGGCGTACACTTCGCTCACGCGCTCCTCGTTGTAGCCGCAGCTAGCTGCCGCCTTCTTCAGCACTCCCAGCACAAAATCCTCATCTCTGAGCTCCGCCCCGCCCCCGGTCGCACCCCCTCGCGACTCTCCGTCACTAAACATCTCTTGTCTCTTACTTAAAACACTTTTTGCCGCTTCTTCGCTGTGTTCGGTTTCGCACGGCTTGTTCTGCGAGCCTATTCTGAGCAGCTTGTCGGTGCGGTCTTGCTCCTGCTGAACTAAATCAAGTATCTGCGACGCTTCTTGTATTCCCGTCTTGGCTAGCACGCGCTTCACTACGTCCTCCGTGTAACCCATGGCGGTGAAAAACTTCAGCAGGAGCGAGAACTCTTTGCCCCCAGATAACTCTGTGGAGCGGTCTTCGCCTTCGCCGTTTTCTTGCGGAGACTTTGAATTCATTACTGTGTTTCTTTCCACGTTGCTGAATTTGCCGATGAAGTTGGTGGTCATGGCGTCCGGGAGAGCGAACTCTCCCAACGAAGACCCGCTTCGATCCCACGAGTCTTCCTGCTTTGTCGGCGGGCACGCGTCGTCTCCGAGTTTGGCTTCTTTGACTAAATCCAACAAGATTTCCTTGACAGAACCAGGCAGGACCAGCAGATCCAGCGTGTGGCGGTCGTCCCACTGCTCCACCAGGTTCTTGAAGGTGCGCCTGGACTCCAGGGACTCGCCCAGGCCACGCTCCCCCAGGTCGGAGCGCTTTGACTGGGTAGGCTCGCACCGTTCCACCAGCTCAGAGATCAGGGAGAAGGCCCTCACCACCGGCTCCATGAGGCCTGAGACCAGCAGACAACCAGGAGACCCAACCTACGATCACAACAGAAACAACGGGAATCATAAAGAACCTTTGCAGCCTCAGTTTGGATGAGGGACAATGATGTGACACGGACAAAAGGTCATGTTTTTCAGGGTTTTCTATTTAGTTTTTTACAACAGTAGTTATCTCGGAGGACTTTAAAAAACCATTGAATTTTGCCATGACAGATCAGAAAGTCAAACAGCTCAAGTAGCTTTAGTCCTGGGTCTACAGCCAGTCTGTCTGTGTGGATCCCTCTCTCTGTGGATCTGAGGTTTCTCACTTTTCTCCCTCTGGGTTTTAGAGTTTTTCCTCTGATGCAGAAGTCTGTCACAGTTAGTGTCTAACAAGAAGGACTGTGGTGATCCAGGACACTCTAACATTCTACAACATGTATGACATTTATCACATGTATGACATGTATCAACATGTGTGACATGTATGACATGTATCAACATGTATGACATGTATCAACATGTGTGACATGTATGACATGTATCAACATGTGTGACATGTATGACATGTATCAACATGTATGACATGTATCAACATGTGTGACATGTATGACATGTATCAACATGTGTGACATGTATCAACATGTGTGACATGTATCAACATGTGTGACATGTATCAACATGTGTGACATGTATCAACATGTATGACATGTATCAACATGTATGACATGTATCAACATGTATGACATGTATCAACATGTGTGACATGTATGACATGTATCAACATGTATGACATGTATCAACATGTGTGACATGTATCAACATGTGTGACATGTATGACATTTATCAACATGTATGACATGTATCAACATGTGTGACATTTATCACATGTGTGACATTTATCAACATGTGTGACATGTATCAACATGTGTGACATGTATCAACATGTGTGACATGTATCAACATGTGTGACATGTATCAACATGTGTGACATGTATCAACATGTGTGACATGTATGACATGTATCAACATGTATGACATGTATCAACATGTGTGACATGTATCAACATGTGTGACATGTATGACATTTATCAACATGTATGACATGTATCAACATGTGTGACATTTATCACATGTGTGACATTTATCAACATGTGTGACATTTATCAACATGTGTGACATTTATCAACATGTATGACATTTATCACATGTATGACATGTATCAACATGTGTGACATTCATGGATATTGGTCAAAATATATGGACCAATTGATTCTCTGATCTGTTGTTGGTGATTTCAATGGTTTTGTAAATTCCTCTGAGATGATGCCGTTGGGATTTAGGGCGATACAAGAATAAGTTGAATTGAAAACAGTTCAGACAATGGTCCATTAGGGGCCCATGTCTTTATGTGTTGATAAATGTTCATACGTGTTGATTATGTGAACGTGTAGAAGCAAACGCACCATGATGTGTGCGGAGGTGCTGCGTGTCAGACAGTCCATGAAGAGTCCTCCAGCTCCACAGAACACACAGTGAAGAGAGAGAGGATACAGCACCTCCTGCTGCTGCTCCTGGTTCACCACACCCCTCACAAACAGCTGCACACAAACACACAACCATTATTATTATTATTATTATTATTATTATTACACCATAAAAACCTACAACTCCAGGCCCAGACACACACACCAGGCTCCAGCTTGAGCCCACAGAGCCGCTGGAGCTGGGGTCTGGTGCCTGGAGTTGTAGTAGGTCCCAACGTGACCCGGCTGAACCTTCATAAAAACTCTGTATCACTGACGTTGTGCGTTTGTCTCTCTTCATTTCAACTATTCTTAACAGTCAGTCTTAAACTTCTCATTTTGTATTTTACCGTCTGCTTTGTCTTGGTTTAGTCTTTCTTCTTGTGTTGGCTGTCTGCTTCGTCTTCCTGTATCTACTTTGTATGACGGCTTTGTTTATTATTCTGACTGTGCAGCGCTGTGTAAACATTGTTTTTGAAAAGTGCTATACAAATAAAGATGTATTGTTATCATTTTCATTCTCTCACAGATTGTCGCCCAAACCTTCTGCCTGAGTTTCTTGTTTAAAAGGTGAGGTCCTGTATTTCAGGCTGATCTAATGCAGCAGAAATGTTAAGAATTCATAGTTTCATTGTCTCTGAAGGACCACATTCCAGGAGACGCCTCGGACACAAACAGGATCAAAAGATTCTGAGCCGACGTCACTGCGATCCTGTGTTTCTATATCAATTTATGGTATTTATGGTTTCATCTGTTTATTGTTTTATACTTGGTGGAGCTAAGTTTTTTTTTTTACTTGTTTTTGCAGCACATTGGAAACATGAGTGGATTGGATTAAAATCACGGAGCATGACCTTCACTCAGACCTTAAGTCCAGGATTTACCAAGACCACTGAAGCAGTGGGTCTACGGCCTCAGCCCCGGGTCTATGGGTCTACGGCCTCAGCCCCGGGTCTATGGGTCTACGGCCTCAGCCCCGGGTCTATGGGCTCTAGTCCTGGGTCTACAGCCTCAGTCCCGGGTCTATGGGTCTACGGCCTCAAGTCCCGGGTCTACGGCCTCAAGTCCCGGGTCTACGGCCTCTAGTCCCGGGTCTACGGCCTCTAGTCCCGGGTCTACGGCCTCAAGTCCCGGGTCTACGGCCTCTAGTCCCGGGTCTACGGCCTCTAGTCCCGGGTCTACGGCCTCTAGTCCCGGGTCTACGGCCTCTAGTCCCGGGTCTACGGCCTCTAGTCCCGGGTCTACGGCCTCTAGTCCCGGGTCTACGGCCTCTAGTCCCGGGTCTACGGCCTCTAGTCCCGGGTCTACGGCCTCTAGTCCCGGGTCTACGGCCTCTAGTCCCGGGTCTACGGCCTCTAGTCCCGGGTCTACGGCCTCTAGTCCCGGGTCTACGGCCTCTAGTCCCGGGTCTACGGCCTCTAGTCCCGGGTCTACAGTCTCAGTCCTCACCTTGGCGGCCTGCACGTCGGCCCTGAGGCCCCGGAGCCGGAGCCAGATCTGTGAGTCGGAGTCGTGCTGCTCGGTGCCGATGGTGAAGTCCACTCTGAAGAGGCGCTGGACGCAGGAGTGGAGCGAGGTCACGGATCCCCTCAGCGTCCCGGGACACGTGAACTCATCCTCCACCGCCTCCTGCAAACACGCACTGTCCATCTGCTGAGCGGCCAGGTCACTGAGAGAGCATCCTGAGGAGAGAGAGGGAGAGGGTCAGGAGCACACAAAGGGAATCCTGAGGAGAGAGAGAGAGAGGAGAGGAGACAGAGGAGACAGAGGAGAGCGGGGAGAGAGAGAGGAGAGAGAGGGGAGAGGGTTCGGAGCACACATAGGGAATCCTGAGGAAAGAGAGGAGAGGGAGGAGAGGAGGCAGAAAATACAGAGGGGAAAGAGAGGGGAGTGAGGGCAGAGAAGAGAGCAGAGAGGGTTAAGAGCACAAGTACAGAATCCGGAAGAGAGACGAGAGAAAGAAGGAAGATAAATGAGGAGAGGGGAGACAGGAGAGGGAGGAGAGAGAGGAGAGAGGGTTAGGAGTAAACAGGAGAGAGGTGACATCATGGACAGAGCTGTTTTCCTCTATCACAATTTTGAGTCGCTGCTCCAGAGTCAGAGATAAGCGCAGACAGAGACCTTGAACTGCTGCAGAATCACACTCTGTAGTCTCGTCAAAACAGGAAAAGGCAGAATCTGTTACTGTGACTGAGACAACTGCATTACCACAAGTGTCCTGAGGCTCTGCACTGGTTTTTAGTACATACATGCACAGAGATACAGAGAAGAACAGATCAGAAGCTTCTTAAAATCAATCTCTGTTGATCACGTCACAGACAGAACTAAAGCACACTGTTTTATTGGCTGAGTGGTTATTGGAGTGGTTAGCACCCAAGCCAGAGTCCTGGGTCTCGGATCCCATTGGGACTTGGAACAGGGCTCCTTCCACTAAACACGTGTGCACCTTCTGACAGCGGTCAAAGTCTACAGCAGTGGCTAAGCAGTTCTAGTGACATTTACAACATAAGAAACAAGATCATACTGCGTAGTTATTATGTAGATGTGTACTTTTAAACTGATCCGTGTCCAAGTTTTTATTCCCTGCCAACAACATGTGAATGAAGACAACACAATAGTAAACCTCTGTCTGTGATGAAAAGAATGCTCTGATTGCGGTTATGTCTAAAGGAAACAGACAGCTGCTTTTCCCCTGGTTCCTGCTGTGGTTTTAAACATCTCCTTCCTCATATTTAACAAACATGATTCTGATTTTGATGCTGTCCAATCGAACTGAACAAACAGGACTTCATTTATTCATTTTGGAAGAACATCAACAACAAAAAACAGAACCCAGGCGATCCCAAACCTTTCAGACAAACACGTGACAATAACTGAATTTGCTTGAGTCATGTAATGCATTATCTGACTAAGTTTCTCTTTAAATATCATTTGCTTAAAGCGTGTTAAAGCTGGGGTACACCATGTTTCTAGTTCCTGGCTCCAAAACAATTTGCGTTTATTACTAGTTTAGCAACAGGAGAGAGAGAGAGAGCGGCGAGAGACCAGAGAGAGAGAGAGATAGAAAGAGAGCAGAGAGAGGCCAGAGAGAGAGAGAGCAGCGAGAGAGAGTAGAGAGAGCAGAGAGAGGCCAGAGAGAGAAAACCAGGGTGAGAACCAGAGAGAGAGGCCAGAGAGAGGTGAGAGACCAGAGAGAGAGGCCAGAGAGAAAGAGGCCAGAGGAGAGAGAGCAGAGAGAGCAGAGAGAGAAGCCAGAGAAAGAGACCAGAGGCCAGAGAGAGAGAGGCAAGAGAGAGAGAGGCCAGAGAGAAAGAGGCCAGAGCGAGAGACCAGAGAGAGAGAGACCAGAGAGAGAGAGACCAGAGAGAGAGACCAGAGAGAGAGACCAGAGAGAGAGACCAGAGAGAGAGACCAGAGAGAGAGACCAGAGAGAGAGGCCAGAGAGAGAGACCAGAGAGAGAGGCCAGAGAGAGAGACCAGAGAGAGAGGCCAGAGAGAGAGACCAGAGAGAGAGGCCAGAGAGAGAGGCCAGAGACCAGAGAGAGAGACCAGAGAGAGAGAGACCAGAGAGAGAGACCAGAGAGAGAGGCCAGAGAGAGAGACCAGAGAGAGAGGCCAGAGAGAGAGTGAGGCCAGAGAGGTGTCACTAGGTTTCACATCATGTATTTCTGGTCTCTGTCACATCTTCAGTTCAGATTTTTCAGACACAAAAGTGAAAAAGAGGAAAAAAGAGAGGGAGAGGACCCCCCACTCAGCCAATCAGCTCTCAGCCGAAAGAGTCAAAGAGTGACTCACAGGTTTCGTTCTTACACAGAAGATTGTTGTTGTTATTTTCCAATAAATTGAAGACAGCAGTAGAGTAAATTAGCCTTTTAGACAATCTGGCATATGTCAACAATATGTTCAACCATTGATGTAGAGTAGAGTAGAGTAGAGTAGAGTATTCACTTCAGACATGTTCTTAGTAATAACGAAAGTATAAAATCTATCATGAAGACGAACTATTGACAAGTCCAGTAATAAGCGAAACAGAGGCTATAATATTAAATAATTATGCCTGATGTGCGCCTTCCCATTGCAGTAGTATGCTCACTGTTTGGCATTTGTTGACAACACGTTTATGTGACTTGTCATGACCTGTGAGCAAAGCAAAGGACAGCGTCAGTCACAGCTCGGACAGAAACTCTGCATTATAATCCTTATTGTCAACACATCTCTTTAGCAAATATTTTCAACGAGATTAATTTTACGAAGCTGCGAGCCACACACACAACTCACACTTTTACGTCTCATTTTTACCATGGGAAAAAATGTAGAAAATTGCTTGAAATGTATATTTTTGTTTTTGCAGGCAGCTTCCGAATCAAAACACTAAAAAACGTGTTTACTTCGCTCCAAATGGTTCAAAACAACACAATTGCACGTAGGTGAGCGTAACATACAGGCTCAAGGCGATGCAAGGGGATAAACATGATATATTTGAGTGATTTACTTACTTTAGCCAGGACTAGCCTCAAAGTTTCGATTCGCTTCCGATGATTTCCGCAAATAACAACAACAGCGTAACGTTAGCTGAGCCAAGTTTGGGTGAAATCGTTCACAGCAGATTTAAAAATATGTATTAAATAAATAAAAAGAGTTAAAATATTGCTAAATGTGGCTTTTGAAACAACGCCACAGACTCATGAAAAGGAAGCCGACACGGGACAAATAAACTGCAGCAGAAATAAAGCGAAACTGACGCGAATCTGCGGCGTGAAAATGAAGGCTAGATACAGGCGGCGTTGCGCGGGAGGCGAGAGGACGGCGGCCATCTTGGGATTGTAAGAGATTGTTTGATTAAAATTGAGTTAGATTTCTATGACAAAATTATTTGGGAATTGTTGTGAGATGGTCTTTTGTCCATTGTATGTTACCGTAGTTGGGTATGCTAACCAGGAGGGGGCACTAGAATTCCAGTTGAGAACTGAGTCTGACACATGGCTGACGTTACCCCATGCTGTAGTGCAATAAAGGCTTTTCCACAACGCGTGTCTTGCCTCATATCATGACATGGTGTCAGAATTGACGACTTCACGCCGACATTGAGAGCACGATGGCAAAGTTTGGACCTCCCGAGCCTTTTGATTTCACGCAGCCAGCGGAGTGGCTCATGTGGCGGCAGAGATTCTCCCGGTTTCGAGTCGCATCAAAACTTGACAAGGAGAGCGGCGAAGTGCAGGTGAACTCGCTCTTTGGGGAGAGATGCCGAACCTATTTACGGCTCATTTGTGTTTCCTGCGGCGACCGAGGCCATGCCACATCCAGAGTACGACTTTAATCTGGTTATTCAGAAGTTTGATGAACACTTTGTCCCGAAGAGAAACGTCATCCACGATCGCGCCTGTTTTCATAAGCGGAGCCAAAGGGCCGGTGAGGCAGTCGAAGCTTTCGTGCGGAGCCTGTACGAGCTTGCACAGCATTGTGAGTTCGGTGCGGGGAAGGACGAGCAGATCCGGGACCGGATTGTTATTGGAATAATGGACAAAGAGGTTTCTCAAAAACTCCAGTTAGAGGCGGACCTGACACTGGAGCGAGCCATTCAACTTGCACGTCAAAGTGAACAGGTGAAACAACAAAGTGCAGAGCGTGTGGAAATTACAGTGAATGAGGTGAGACAGAAACAATACAATAGCACAAGGAGGAGCTATGATAAACCGCACCAGGGATATGGACAGAAATACAATGAGAATAAACTTAACTGTCAGAGATGCAACAGGATGCATGATAAAAAGGAAAGCTGTCCAGCCCGTAACAAAAGGTGCAGAAAATGCAATAAAATGGGACATTTCGAGGCCGTGTGTAAGTCCAAGATGCTGAAAGAAGTCAGAGCAGAGACTGGTATGGACTCAGATGAAGATTCATTTTTCATTGGAGAACTATTCTTGGGAGCAACCACTAAGTCTAAGCCAAACATCATTGTGGAGTCAAACGCTGATACTGACTGGGATGTAGAGCTACTTGTGAATGGCACTGCAGTGGATTTTAAAATTGACACTGGGGCAGATACCACCGTTATGGCTGAAGAGACTTTTCGAAAACTACGCTACAAACCGAAACTGAACACGTCTAGGCCCACGGTGTATAGCCCAGGTGGGAAAGTCAGATGCGTGGGTAAGTTCCTTGCCACCACTACATACAAATGTCAAAAATATCAGTACTGGATTACAGTCATAAAAGGACAATACGTCAGTAACTTGTTGGGTAAGGATGTAGCAAAGCGCATGGGGCTAGTAGCCAGAGTTAATGCCATCACTACTGACTTAACCAGTGATGTGTTTGGGGAAATAGGTCTACTGAACTGTGAGCCAGTTAAGATTGAGTTGACTGAGGAAGCGGTCCCATACAGCGTCAACACGCCACGCAGGGTTCCGTTTCCGCTCCTCCCTAAAGTGGAGAAAGAGCTAAAGCGCATGCTAACTCTCAATATCATTGAGGTGGTTACAGAGCCGACAGACTGGTGTGCCCCAATGGTGCCTGCTCCAAAACGCAACAAGGACGAGGTCAGAGTATGTGTGGATTTAAAACGTTTAAACAAGGGAGTAAAGCGTGAACGTTACATTTTGCCCACACTGGATGATATTACACCTAAGCTAGCGGGAGCCAAGGTTTTCTCCACTCTGGATGCTTCTAGCGGGTTTTGGCAAATTCCATTAGACCCCAGCTGCCAGAGACTGACCACTTTCATTACCCCAATGGGCCGGTTTTGCTTCAAACGCCTGCCATTTGGCATTACATCAGCGCCTGAGATTTTCCAGCGGCTGATGACCGACCTGCTTAAAGGCCTAGAAGGGACTGTCGTTGTAATGGACGACATCCTGGTCTATGGATCTACAAAAGAGGAGCATGATCGCCATCTCGACAAAGTGTTACGGACGGTCAAGGCGTCCGGTCTCAAGCTCAATAAGTCCAAATGTCACTTTGGAAAGAGTGAACTGCAGTTCTTCGGTCACATCATTAGCGCTGATGGGGTGAAGCCTGACGAGAGTAAAGTGGGAGGCTATCGCTAAAATGTCCAGCCCCTCAAACGTGGAGCAGCTGCGGCAGGTTCTTGGATTAGTGAACTATGTGGGAAAATTCCTACCAGGCCTGTCTACGGTGCTGCATCCACTCACGAATCTTCTCAAAAAAGAGACTGCATGGGCGTGGGCAGCGCCTCAAGAGCAAGCATTTAACAAAGCAAAAACGATGCTCATGGCTGCACCTGCCCTTTGTTACTACAACGTTAACAAATCAACAGTAGTCAGTGCCGACGCGAGTAGTTACGGCCTTGGTGCTGCCCTGTTGCAGGACCACGAAGGTGAGTTGCGGCCTGTTGCCTTTTGCTCGCGCACACTTACTGATGCAGAGAAGAGGTATTCGCAGATCGAAAAGGAGTGTCTAGCGTCAGTCTGGGCTTGTGAACACTTCGCCCGCTACATACAAGGTATGGGCCATGTCCGTTTACAAACTGACCACAAGCCACTGGTACCGTTGATCAACTCGTACGATCTTGACAAAACGCCACTACGGTGTCAGAGACTGCTTATGCGCCTTATGCGATTCAATGTTACTGCTGAACATGTTCCCGGTAAGCAGCTAGTAGTCGCAGACACGCTCTCTAGGCATCCATTGGAAAATAGTTATGTGCCTGAAACGGAAACACAAGTAAAGGCATACGTGAACACTATAGTAGCTAGCAAACCAATAAAGTCACCCAAGCTTGAGGAAATTCGCAGAGCCACACAAAGCAATGATGACCTTCAAAAAGTAATCACATTCATCAGAAAAGGGTGGCCTTGCAAAATAGCTGGGGACTCACCACTGCGCGGATACTATGCGGCCAGAGGTCACTTATCAGAGTCTGACGGTCTAGTCCTATACCACGACCGCATAGTAGTTCCAGCGGTGCTTAGAGATGATGTTCTGGACCAACTGCATGAGGGCCACCAGGGCCTCACAAAGAGTCGCGAGCGAGCCAAGCTGACTGTTTGGTGGCCAAACATCGGGACACAGATCACAAACAAAGTGAATTCATGTGACTTTTGCAGAGAACACAAACCAACGCAGAGACGTGAACCACTGGTAACCACTCCCCTACCTAGTGGCCCATGGCAAAGGATTGCTGTTGACCTGTTTGAGTTAGAGGGTAAGTCCTATCTTGTTGCTGTCGATTATTTTTCCAGAGACATTGAAATTTCTTCCCTCACCACCATTACAAGCAGGCAGGTAATCAATAAGCTCAAACGCATGTTTGTGAGGTGGGGAATTCCGCTTGAACTGGTCAGTGACAACGCAACGCAGTTCACATCAGCGGAGTTCAAAGAATTCAAGCGGAGGTATGGGTTTTCTCACATTACCTCCAGCCCACATTACCCACAGTCGAACGGAGCTGCGGAGAGAGCTGTTCAGACTGCCAAGTACATCCTTAAACAGCCTGACCCCTGCTTGGCCCTTATGGGTTATCGCTCTACACCGATCGCAGCTACGGGTGCAAGTCCGGCACAGCTCATGACTGGTAGACAAATCCGTACCACTGTTCCTGTCCTGGAAGAGGCGTTGCTGCCACGTCCATTCAACCCGGACCATGTTTACATGAAGGACGCAATGGCTAAGGGTTCGTACAGGTACTTCTATGACCGCAGGCATTCAGCTCGCGCGCTCCCTGAACTTCGCCCTGGCCAGCCTGTTAGAGTGAAGCTCGATGGGGAGAAAGGATGGACAACACCTGCCAGGGTCATCAGTTTATCCAAAGAGCCGAGATCCTACCTTGTGGAGATGGCGAATGGAAACGTGACCCGTCGGAACAGGCGTCATCTCCAGTCTGTTCCTGAGGCCGAACCTCCTGCAGAGCACCCTTGTGCCCAGCCTACAGCATCGCTGCAGGACAGCGGGTTCCCACTGACGGATGTGACTGTGCCACCTGAACCACCAGCTAGCCAGATGCCAGCGGGCCCTTCCAGTGCATCTCCCCTTGCACCATCTACACCCGTGAGGACGACTTCCAGAGGCCGTGAGATAAGAGTGCCTCTAAGATTTAAAGACTGACTCAAAAGGGCAGAATAATCCCTTTCAGGACCGAGGGCAGTCTACCCTGTGAAGTCCTGCATTGTTCTGAGACTGTTTGTAAAAGAAAAAAAAAAGTTGATGCATAAAGTTTGTGCAGGAAAGTGTTTATTTTGTTATATTGCAGTTGAAAATTCAAAGCTAAATTAAACAATGAAGAGATTGAGGGAAAATTTAGTAGTAATTAATATTGATATTGTTGAGATAAATAAGAATGGTTGGGTTCTCTTACTGCTAACATTGAAAGAGGGAGATGTTGTGAGATGGTCTTTTGTCCATTGTATGTTACCGTAGTTGGGTATGCTAACCAGGAGGGGGCACTAGAATTCCAGTTGAGAACTGAGTCTGACACATGGCTGACGTTACCTCATGCTGTAGTGCAATAAAGGCTTTTCTGAAGAAGACCACAACGCGTGTCTTGCCTCATATCATGACAGGAATGTATAAATAGTTATAATTAAAGTTATTATTAAAGGTATATAGAATGATTTTTCCAAATTTTAGGAAAGAACTGCCCTCTACAATTTTTGAACAAAACTCTCTGGTCTTATTGGACGCGCACGCATCACCAGAAGGATGGACAACTATGGGCACCAATAGTCTTGATAATCCACCCGGAAGTAGAAAATCCTCCAATATACCTATAACTTAATTGTTAATAGATAGTGTTCCACTGACGTCACGCACTACCCACAATTCCGCAGTTCGCCATTTTGCTAGTCTAGCCGCCGCTAGTTGTAGGTAAACAAATCGGGCCAAATCACTTTTTTTGCGCTAAACATGCAGACTGCCTGCATCTTTTGGGGGTGCAGTAACCGCGTGGATTGTGGGAACATTCTGAAGGCCTTTACGAGCCAGGGTAGCCACTCTCGACCGAGAAAAGACTCTTTAGTTGGCGATGCATCATAGGTAATAAGCATGTGATGGAAAACTATGTATAGTTGCCAAATCTGCCTGGCTGAATAAGATCATGATTCAAATGCAACTTGCGGGAGACCAAACAGAACTTTCTATATCCTGAAATAGTTCAAAGATGAAGAAGTATATTGCGTCGACAGTGCGTATATGAGGAGTGGACTGACCAGGTGTGACATCAACATAGTGTTAGCCTTAATGAGGAAAAAGCTGATTTGAACATAAGGTGGAGCCAATTTCCTTATATGGGTCTTTGTTTTGACGGTGTTAGCTTTGCTCCGTAACAGAGGCAGAGGTGTTGAAAAATCAGTTGCGAAGGCAAGCTGCAGTTTCCTCAGATAATGAACATATCTGATTGGTCAATCCTTTAAGGCTCATATCTGGATTTACAAAGACAGTAAATAAACACCAGGAGAGCACTAAACCGCAGATTGAGAAGTTTTCAATGTAAGACAACAGAAGCCAGACTGAGTTGGAGCAAATCTTTGTCCATGAGCACTTCTCTTTTGGGCTTCATTGAGATAGCAGGTCAGGTGGCAGGTGTCATACAATCACAAGATGGCCACTGAAAGTTATTGGTGTTCGCTGTAGTTATGAAGGCGATGTTTCTTCTAGCTTGCACTCTTGGATATTGAAACTTGTTTAACGGACGTTTTAAAAATAAAAAGAGACGACATATTCACCGCACGTTTATAAAACATATTAATTATATTTTGGAAAAAGTACTGTATTTAGTGATCTATATTTAAAAAGCAGTGCCATTCATGCCGAAGGGGAATTCCGTCACAAACTGCTGCTTCTGAAATGACTCTGCAGAACGTACTTTATGTTTATGTTTGTATTTAAAGGGGCTCAAGCTCTAGGGTAATTCCATATTAAATTACAGGTTAGATCTGTCTCTTAAATAAAGAAGCAAGTATAAAATCTCTAACTTTAGCATAATAAAGAAGCAAGTATAAAATCTCTAACTTTAGCATAATAAAGAAGCAAGTATAAAATCTCTAACTTTAGCATGATAAAGAAGCAAATATAATAGTATATAGTTGTAGGT